ACTTAGGAACTGTAGAGCCAATAAGTAATAGTCTTGATTTTCAGACCATTGAACCAAATGGTCATACGTTTTATGCTGCGCGAAGATTCAATCAGTTTAATTTTGGCCATCATGCACAAGAAGTGGGTTATTGATGTAGACAAATGCTCATGTACCCTTTACAGCTCATGTTATGTATGTTATTACCAAAGAAGAAAAAAGCCAGTCACTAACTCAATAGTGTCTGACAGTGAAGTCTAGCAAGTAAACGGATTTCCTTGAATAATTTTAATATTAAGACACTGCTAATGTTTAAATTTCACAGATAGGACATACATGACATATTCATAATTCCTGCAAAGTTCTACAGAATTTGAGGTTGGCTGCAAAAGGGATATAGTACCTTTAATGGTGGAGGATTTGGAATTCATGACAAATAAATGAATATGTTACAGTTAAGATCAACTGATTCCTCTTATAGATAAAAATGATCTCCCACCCCCAAACAGGAATTATTTTAACTTTATGTGTTTTAAATGCAAATATTTGTATTATCTGTAAACCATGTGTATTTTAAGAATCTGCTTTTCATCAAGATTGTTTTCTGAATATTCAGGATTGAATGAAGCAATTTTGATAATGAATTTGAAATAAACAAACTAAATTATGAATTAGATGAAGCAATCACAAAGATTTTGCTTGTGATTACTGTGCGAAAAACTTTCAATACATAATCAAAATCATAATATTCCTATAATATTCAGAAAATAAGCTGGACAATAACACATTTTCCTGAAATTCTTGTATGGTTTTTACAGCACCTATTTTTTTTAACGTCAATATGACTTAATATAGCAGTATGAGAGATTATAAATATACTTCTTTTGCTTTGGTTTTGATTTTAAAAGAAAATCTAAATTGATAGAACATGTGCGATCAAATGCCTTCACCAATATTTCAACAATTTAAAACACAAATAACAATGAGTATTACTTACATTTATAATGCCTGTAATAAAATACAACCATGTTAGGTTACTAAACCATATTTCACGGCTGAATATATCACATCGTATTAATTTCAACTTTGGTATATATAAACATTTTAATGTGGGTGAATATGAAATTAGGGCAAATTTAGTCTCTTTGGCACGAAAAAGTAGTACTATTTCTTAATTATACAATCCCTTGCATCTCACTAATATAAAGTTCACTATTAAAAAAAAAAAAAAAAAAAAATCAAACAAACACACACACACACACGATTGGAAAAAATATAGCCAACAAACGACCAAACACATTAGTGTATGCAATTTCTGTCGCTTTTAATGAAAAACAATAAAATATTGAAAAAATAGAAACTCTTTATTTCTAATTTAAGAACATGACAGGGTATTCACATACAAAAGAACTTTGTTCTTTTGATAGAGATTCCACACTATGTATAAGAGTACTGTTCAATAATAATAAAAACGTGTTTGTTTTGTTTGATGAAAGTGATAAAGTAACGGCCAAATATACCCAGAGAATTAATAACACTTTACATCTACCAGCTGCTCATAAAAAGGTTTGTAGCTTTCTCCTTTAAGAAGTATGCAAAAAGAAGTACAACATATTTCATCCACGGGAAGAGTATGAAAAGCTAAATACGCACATGCTATTTACTAACCAGGTCGAATTCAACACTTGCGAAAAGAGGGTTGAATGATTCACATGTTCTATTATGTACCATGATCTATTTAATTTGTCTATGATCCTATGTCATATTAGTCCAATGCAAAAAACGAAACAAAAACAGATCTATCTGGTCAGACCCTATGTCATCCTCATAGCTTTTGAAGCAAATGATTCTGATGCCCATTTTCATAAAATCCATGACCCTGATCAACACTGTTTCACTGATCATTAACATTAACTATCAAAGTCATAGCTAGCAATCACAATATCAAGATAATGATAAGGCATGATTAAATATACATTTCTCTCTAAAAATCTTACCAAAAGTCAAGTCATCACTTGACAGGAACTCAAAAGTTACTGTTTCAACTGAATACAAAATGCTTATAATACATTTAGAAAATTCAAGAGAACTTGAATGGAAAGCCTCTAAGTTCAGTGTCATCTGCCTAGTAAATTCACAGCGTTTAGAAGTTACACAAATAAGACATTTGGAATGTTTTTCACTATGTGAAAAAAATATACAGACGTGGTAATATTTGAAAATTAATGACAATACCAAACATGACAAGACATTTACAGAATAAGACATTGACGAATGGAAGAAGAAAGATTGAGAAGACCAACTTATATTCTAACTTCAACAAACAGATGTTACAAAAATGTTACAAAGATGTTATAAAGATGCTTTGTGGCAAGAATAATATATAGGAAGTGATTTTTTCCCCCCTATCCATAACTAACTGAAGAGGGATTTCAGGACTGAAACGGACCATTTCATAATGAAACATCTATCATCCCTTTCAAAATGCCTTCATATTGCAATATTTATCCCAGTATTTGAAGCTTCCGGAATACACATACCGGTAGACCACAGAAAAGATTATATCTGCATTCATCAACATGTTCAATTTCTAAAAAATGTACAAACCTAATCGTGTTTACAGACGTAGAGGAACTAACTTTTTGAATAGGGAAGGGTGGATTCCAGCACAGAGACACTCAGCTGTGTTCATACATACACATACAATGATGTTTGTTGCAGACATCAACTGTAAAGTACCCATAATCTTTGTGATCCCTTTGTTAGAAAGAAGGAAGAAACACTGAAAGGAACAGAGGAAGGAGTGGAAATAGATTTAGGAGAGGAGAACTATTAAGGCTCGTTCAGATATAAAGTGTTAAACTCCTTTTATGTTATTTTGGAAGAATATCGTAGTAGAAATATCCTCCCAAACCAATTGCTCTTCAAATGTCCTCATAATCAAAATATGACAAAAAAAATTTGGTCCAAACTTTCATACCACATCTGTGTGTAGTCCCATATATTCATTTCTGTGTGCAGCGCATAGGATATTCAACCAAGATTGAGTAAATTTCTTATCGTTTTTTTATCGTTTCAAAACCTCACTGTATACATAAATTATTGTGCACAACATTATCATCTTTCCCTATAGCTTTTTGTTAGTATCCTTCAAGATGTAGTAGCATGATCGGTACTCAATTGTCTTTAAGATGGTGGAAAGAGAAGACAGAAGAGAGAAAGAGTTCAAGGCAATATGAAAAGGAGAAAATATCACCCCATGCCACACCCGCTCTCACTCGATGGCCTTGTTCTCTCATGTTTCATCTACCTAGTAGGATAGGTGTTCCTTCAAGAGCACAATACCAGTGCCCCCCCCCCACCAATGATCCCAATATTAAAGCCCCACTGCACTGCTTATAGCTACTTGCGCCCTCTATATAGGAAACGATGCCTAATCGGTGCCTGTTGGTCCCCCATGATCCCCCTTTTCTTATGTTAATGGAGAGCTGATTGATGAGATAACTACCTGTCAGTGACCTTGCAGAGAGGTCTAATCCCCCTGACCAAACTAGTGCAGATAGGCTTTAAACCCCCAAAATAGATGAACCACCCTGACTTGACAATCGTTGTACACAACCTTTCTTGATATTTTACAGTCTTTTAACATATTTTCGTTCTTGAATTTTTTTCTTGAATTTTCCGTTTATGTGGATTGCTTTTGCCTGGAGTTGACCCCTTCACTTCCAATCCACCGCAAGCTTTGTATTCAAGCTATGTCGATGACACTCGTGCCATTCCTGTTTACAGAATTTAGACTGGATTTGAAGTTTTCAAACTGCACAAGATCAGTGTCTTCTGCAAAGCAGCACAAAAGAAATATTCTAAAGAAGAATTAGCATTCTCACATAATCTCATTTCGCTTTGAGGCCCACGCGATGTTGTTTTGATAACAACAATATCCGTCATTCTTTAAACCAATGCTGTTATCACAACAACTATTTATACCATTGAAGTGCTTACGAAGCAAAACAGATTAATCCGTTGTGATTGAATTTTGGTATATTTGGCTTTGAGGCAAATTAAAACCATTAATACACCAGGATTGAAAGAAGCGATGAGGTGGCATCTCTCTCTGATACTTTCCTCGCACGTAATCTCCTGCCTCCGGATAAAAAACGAAAACTTTTGACGTGTCTATTCTCGGAACATTTGACAAATGAGAATAATACGTGCACCTAGGTAAAAACTAACAAATATTTCCTGATGAAAGGATACTCAACTTCACCGATATAAACTTACAAAAATTGACATCTACGATTTGGGAGGAATAGTTACTGGTATATCATCAGCAAACCAACACATCATGAATGATCAGGATTAACTTAATGCACAAAAAATCCCTCTAATACTCTCATAATACATCATCAGAAAATTTAAGAAGCACAGAAGCTTTAAAATTTCTTGAAAAATAGGTGAATGATATAAATTCACATTTAGTCCTATGAAACCTAAACTTCAGTGCTGAAATTAATTATCAAATTGATGTTTTTTTAATTTTGTTGCCAGAATCCTTCTTGAATTTGCACAATAAACTGGATATTACACACTGTCCCTTCTTGAGGTGTTGACTTTAAAGCCCCACTGCACTAGTTTGGTCAGGAGGGATTAGACCTCCCTGCATGGTCACTGACAGGTGGTTTATCTCGTCAAATAAGCTCTCAATAAACATAAGAAAAAGAGGATCATGGGGACGAATGGTCACAGATTAGACATTGTTTGCTATATATAGAGGGCGGAAGTTGCTATAATAATATTAATAATAATAATAATAATAATATAAATAATCTTTTAAAGTCCACTCCAAATTTTATTATGTTAAACCGAAAATGGAAATTCTTTTTGCCCAATTGATCGTGAGCCGGCAGCCACTGAGCAGCGCCAGATCGACGTTGCTCCCTTATTGTTCAATGCCAAACAAGGTAGCAGTAACTCCCGTCTTTTAACGTCTTTTGGTATGACGCAGCCGGGGTTTGAACCCACGGCCTCCCGGTTGTGAGGCGGACGCTCTACTGACTGAGCCAACACACCTATAAGTAGTGCAGTGGGGCTTTAATACCTTAAACACTCTTTTAACAATCCTCTGCAGGGGAAGTTTAGATTTGATGGAACAATACAAGGGTTAAACAGAAATGACTCCCCGCAAAGGCTGGGGCACAGAAGAGTGTCTCCTCTTTAACTTTGACTAAAAAAAAGGAATCATGTCTTTCGCTCATTACTCCCTACCCTTCGACGAAATCGTAGGCATTTACTTGTGAGCTTTGTGAATGATAGACGATTGAAATACGTGCAATGATTTAGATTGGTGATATATTCTTGATTTGGGAGTAATCATAAACCTTACTCCCACATGAGCCAATAAACCGCTCCAGATAATCTGCAGTGGCATGATTACGTAGATAAGCGTGGTGATCATCAGATACCTGCATACATGAGATCACACACAGATCGGTGTGTATACATGTATGTACAAACTATTTGTTGTATTTCTTTTAACCCCATAATGTTGCCTCTCGCAACTCATATACACCTCCAGATTTTATAGGGCTAATTCATATTCATTTCATAAATAGCTACTTTCAATTTATGAACCTTATATCATGAGAGACAGGAGGGAACTAACTCAATTTCAAATAATGTTAGGTTACCGGTACACCCTTGTGGCTCACAGCATACAATTTAAACCCTTCTGGCTTTCAGCGCAAAATAATCTGTTGCAGCCAAAGATAAAACCCTCTCTTGTTGTCGATCTCAATCATCCATACAGAGGAGTGCTAGGTCAGGCGTTCATCAGACAAGCCTTCATCTTCATTAGTACCAAAACCTCTTCATTGCTGTTGCCATAGTGACGAATAAACAGTTCCAGGGCTCTGTCGATGGCTTCCATTGCTGGAGCGATTTCCTTACTGTCAAGCAAGTTGTAAAAAGGAAGAGAAAAACAAACAATGTGATAATTAATCATTCTCAGAAATGTTACACATCCAGGAAACCACTTAATAGTGAACACTACATCTGTTTGCATAGGAGCAAAATTAAAACCATTTTTTTAAAAGGTAACTGTTCTTCCAGCCTACCAAAGGCATAGATTTGTCCATAGATAAGTTTCGGCTGTATGTTGATTATTGTTTTACCTGTGTATCCAGGTGTATGCTTGTATTATTGTAAGTAAGCAATCAGGGGACCGACAGCTTTAAGTCCTCTCTGAGCAACTTGGAAATGAGAATTAAAGCCTTACCAAAGGGCACGAGGGCATTGACTTGGTTTCGAACCCGGAACCTCTCGGCTAAGAGACCACTGCTCTACCACTGAGCAAAATCAAAAAGGAATTTTGATTTTCTACAACTTTCATAATGATAGAAATAGATAAGTATAAAACCTACAAATTCTGAACACCACAGATGTCTACTCTTCACAGTGTTTGGTGAGGAATGTTAAGTTTGGTCATTGAAATCAAAAGTGACATGAAATCAATGGTTGCCATAATAAAGATAATTAAAGTATAACAATCATAATTTTCAAATGATTTGTCTTGTCAAAATCCTTCTTGTATAAAGTTAAACATACTGTGGTAACCTGTTCTATTTATCAATATTTAAACAAATCCTTTCATTTCAGAAACCCCCTCGTGCCACTTAATTTATTATACCTAGTATCATTTTCAACGATGCCGATCGCATAACCTGGTTCATATTGAATGTATAGGATTTTAGCTGTACATTTATTTCCCTTTTCGGTGCCTCTGTAATGAATTATGTTCTAACAAATGTACCGCTTTTCATGCCCGTTCCTACAAATGTAAAACTATCCATAACTGCTCATTATGTTTGCATGATTGATTATAATCCTGTGCATTACAGACAAAAGCGCTAACAAAAGAGTTTCTAAAAACAGGTTTGATATGGAGCAAGAAAAAGAGACCTTGCGAATTTGGTTGAACCGTAACAAACGCAAGGCGGCGCGTACAAACAAACTCTGTGTTTTCATGAAATGGTTGGAGTCACCCTAGACAACCGTCAACCAAAACCACACGTTTATGAACATTCCTCTTCTGAAACTCGACATTTACCATCATTCTTTTGCTCAGCATTGACCTATAATCCCTCAATCTGTCGCGATTGTCAATTTTTCATCTCCCCTCCTCCTCGATTAACAATTGATTAACAAACAACACGTTATGTGGGCCGGTGTATTTGATATTTCCACCCATGCTCGGAGCTGAATAGGCAGAAATTAGAATGGGACGCTTTAACATCAAGGTTTACGAGCTGTGTTCCACAAGCGATGAACTGTAAAGTATACAAGTGTCCTGTAATGCACTTCCTGAATGAGACATAAATGTCTAGGAGAGTCGGATGGTGTGCTTAGAAAGAAATAAGCAAGATGTTGATTTGTAATTGTTAAAGGTATAGACCAGTTTTGGAAACGCTCCCCTAGTCTCAAAAAATGAAATGGAAGCTCTTATTACCAATCATGTGAAAGAATATACGTGATGATACCAATTTTGCCAGGAAACCGCCAAGTAATTGATATATTTGGTAAATTTTCATATCTATCCGGCCTGGATAGATATCCTGTAGTAGTGTAGTCCCATATAAATCTTTCCTTATCTTTTCTTATCATTTTGATGATTCCAGAACCTTGCAGTACACACCAATACTTATATGCTAGATGATCAACCTTTTCTGATCGATTCCACACCGTTTCGTTCACAATGCAATCGCATGACCATAACTGGTCTTTATCTTTAATACGTTTGTTAGCTGTAGTGTTCCATGTTCTTGAGAATGTTTCTTTGAAAGTTGAAACACAAACTTCTTTTAGGTGTTTATGTTATCAACTTTGTTCAGACATTTTCCCTTGTAGGAGAAAGAACCGTTTTGATATTTTTTTCCAAACGATAGCAGTGACCCTACTATGGTTATAGTTATCAAGGGAAACATAATAAGAAAATGACTATCGCTATAGTCCATCTGTAGGGGAGCTGCAGTACGGGCCACTCCTAGTAAATTTTTCTTTTTCTTTTTACTGGATACTCCATGAATTTTCATGCTCTTCACATGGTATCTTGTTAACTACCAAGATGCAAATATTGACTACCGGCATTCACTTTTGAACGGGAATATTTAAATTTGTAATCATTTAATAGAAAGTGAAAAATCACAAAGTTTGATCTGGCCAACTTTCTTTCAATACGATAGCATTAAATCCAAACAAAATTTGTCCCATATCAGCTTCTCCAAACCTAATGCAGATCAAATAGCTTCATGAAACAAACGCAGATGGCACAATTGCACAAACAAATCCCGGACGACACACAATTAACAAAGCGAAAAACAGATGCCACAAGACCATATTTAGCAATAGCATGAATATTTGTAACCATCACGTGCATCACATCTGGTTTGCGCAGTCGCGACCAGCTGCCGACTCACAGATTGGAGTGCCACGCCTCTGTACATGCAGTTGAAGTTCGATAAGAGAACATTCTGCTAATTGGCTGTCATGAAGAAATGCACAAATGGAGACGCCCCCAATTTTTTTTCTCCCCCTTTAAAAGCATCAATAAGCTGTTGGCTTAGAACATGAACTGCCTGTAGGGAGAAGAACGACAGGGGGTGCAAGATAAAGCAAAAAGTTTTCTAAAGATAGCATGAGAGGTTTGCGTCTGAATAGCGCCGACAGGAAGTTGAATGGCGGTGATGGGAGGTCGATTACACAAATAGAGCGTGGAGTTGCACCTGAGGTCAGACGATGTTATCAGTCGGGTACGAGTTCGTAACCCCCTCTACCCTGGAAACCTTAGTGGGGTAAAAACGGAGCTCATTCGTTGGGATTATTCTATAAGGAGATGCCTGCAAAGGTTTAACACTAGCCTACATACCGGTACCCTGAAATTAAATATTTAAACCACTGGAGTTAAAATCAAATACTAGCCTGCAAAAACAGTTTCACACTAGTGAAAATTTGGAAGTACACTAGTGCAATCGGCTACCATAATCAAAGATTTTAATGATTTCAGAAATATATATGGTGGACTAGCACAATATTCTGCATCTCTTTGTACTTGAGTACTGCTAACGATTGATAACAAAATCAAACTAGAATAAATAATATTTGCCATCCAAATTAATAGAGAATATAGTTGAGTAATAAGGAGAGAAATTGGGTTGACATCTGGTTTGTGATACAAGGCTTTAACCCACCCACGTTGCATGGTATTTGAGTGTCATACTCATTGTATATCTTTTTGCAATTTTTCTTATTTTGTTCAACCTTTAATAGATCCTAACGTCCCTATAGCATAACAGGATTCAAAATTTCAAATCCTTATGAAAAATGATATACAGCAACAGATTGGGTTTGAAATATATGTATCAAATAAAATATTTGTGTTCCTTGATGCGAAGACTATTTGGATCCATTTCAAGCAATATAACATGAAAAAAAAGATGCAAAAGGATTTAGATAACTAAATAAGGCCTTTTAACTGTGTCGCTTCAGGGAGAACAGGTAATATGACTACATTGCGCCAACAAATTTAACAAATTGAACATAGAGGGCATGAGACCACTTAATGTGATGGTGTGGATCTCTCATTTCATAATGATTCTGCTGACAATATTCATCTGCCCTCGATACAAAACACCAAAAGTGCAACATTGCTAAATGCCTTTGTTCTTTTGTGTCTTAAATAGGAGGTTTCCAATTGTGCCACGATTAGGTCCTCAAAGCAAGGACACGCACGGATAGAGACGTTGTGTTGTTTTTCCCACGATAATGCGATGCTGGCCTACAAACAATGCCGTCTGACGGAGAAAGGATTCAGAGCGCAACATGTAGATCGCGACTACAGATACCGTAAGTGAATAATTAGTGTTCATGTATGTTCATTTATGTTCATTGGCTATTAAGAGAAAATAAGGTCTATAAGCGTGACAACCATAGAGAGTTTTGCAATCTAAAAAAAGAATAGCTCGGGAATGTCGAGGCACGGTTTGCAGTGCACGTAGTCACCTTTAACTGTCCTATATCTACTACATTTGCCGCCTGCCGTGGAACGGATTCAGAGTGCAACATGTAGATCGCGACTACAGATACCATAAGTGAATAATTAGTGTTCATTTATATTCATTGGCTATTGAAAATAGAGTTTTGCAATCTAAAAAGAGATTAGCTCGGGAATGCAGAGGCACGGTTTGCGCTGCACGTAGTCATCTTGAACTGTCCTATATCAACTACGGTTTTAAAAGATGACATTTTCATTCTCTCTCAAATGACAAACCTTAAAATTATGAAGTTTTAAAGGGCGCCAGCACCTATTTTTTATAACGCAATCTGCTGTTCAAGTGTAACTTTTAAGTACAAGTACTTATACTAGTCTATCTGTGCTGTGTTTCCATTTCAATTAATGTGCTGTTATTTCATGACTTTTCAGTAACAAATATATAACGTTTATTTTCGTCTCCTGTACCTTATACTTACAGCAATAACTGCTTGAGAAATCAATTCCTCCCTGTTCCTACTTCATTTTTTCCCATGGTTTCTTTTGTAAAATGTTAAAGTTATCGCCTAAGTACCGGAAGTAACTAATCAATACATTTTCAATTCACAAGAGTATTTTTCTAGTCACTCTTCAGTCGCCATACCTTCCTTTTCCCCATTGTTCATTCTTTTCTTTGTAAAATGATCAAATTAATCACTACATTTGATATCAATGGAAATATATCTCTAGTCCTTGATCATGTCTTGATGTCAAAAGGAACCCTCTGAGGCCACCAAATAATGGGTGAATTGGGAAACAATGTCTTCTAGATAAAGTTGAGTTCTAGTCATGCGATTGCATTGTGAAAGAAACAGTGTAGAATCAATCAGAAAAAGTTGATCATGAAGCATAGAAGTATTGGTGTGTACTGCAAGGTTCTAGAAACATCAAAATAATAAGAAATTTGGCCCAGTCTTGGTCAAAGTAACAAGTAAGCACTCTACACAGCGGAAAGATGTATATGGGACTACACAAACAAGTGGCATAAAAATGTGGTAAACATTTTAAAGTTGTTACATGTCATATTTAGAATATGAAGGCATTTGAAGAGCCGTGCTTTTCAGCTAACTTTTTTTCTCCTGATGTGCTTCCACACTTGCATAATAACAATGAAAATGCTCACAAATTATTTTTCACCTCTCCTCAGAACTCAACCTCAATCTCTGTTTAAATCTGTTCATATCATCTGTTGAGAATTAGAAGGGTGTTAAACTCGGTGTTAATGCCCTTCTGGCTACCGAGAGACAAAATATTGTTGAGATTGTTGAGTTTATACTAGGAGTATTAAAGAGGGATAAAAGAAGAGGGGAAAGGAAATAGAAGGAGAGAGATAAAGAAAGAAACAGAGATATAGACAGATTGAATGAAGGAGAGTTAGACAGGGTGAATGAAAAAGAGGTAGAGAGTGAGGGGGAGAGAGAGGGAGGGAGGGAGGGAGAGAGAGAGAGAGATATATATATATAGAGAGAGAGAGATATATAGAGAGAGAGATAGAGAGAGAAAATTACCCATTGAAGTATATCTGGGCCAGCTTGTACAGTTCATTGGCCACCTCTATGGAGTCCCTGCCGAACCGGCATTCAATCGTCGGGATGGCCTTCGCTAACCACGGAGCCGCCTCCTTAAATTCTTCTATAAATAGAACCATGGAAATAAAACATGGAAGCAGTGAATGATCTACCATAGCTTTGGAGAGCTCTAAAAAAGCCCAGGTAAATATCCCAAATAAATGCTTAAAAATTGAGTGTGGAAGGGTTCTGGAGTTCTTTTACCCTGAACAGAACCATTGAGCATAGCATGATACACCACAGCAGACAATTTTACTAAACCAATTTCTTTTTTTTGAGGCCGTCATCCGAGTCAAGCATCGCTTATGATTGCGGTCTCCTGCACTTTTTCAAACGATAGTTTAGATAAAACTTCAAACTTATAATAAGATGTTATAAAAATATTAAGTTTCGTTATTATATGTACATATGTAAAAAAACATTTTGACATGAAGTTATTATTGTTTGTATATTTTGTATTATACCGTAAGTTTATATGTTCTTTGTTATTATATTTGGAAAAATGCAGAAATAAAATCAAACAAATTTTTTTAATTATGTACCGGTAGATAAAAATTACAAACAGAAGGGGAGATGGAGGGAAAGATGAGTCAGTGATTAAACATTCAAATATTCTTCTCTTGAGTGAAAAAATCATGGGATTTTAAATTTAATTCATGGTCCTTTAGTTTCCAGGTTATATCGCCTCATTTTGTCTTTTTGTTCATTCTTGCAGTCTGCTCTGATGAGCGCTAGACAAATACTTGACACCCCCCTATGGCTATGCCTCTCTGTAGCTATGACAAGGGTCTTTATTCTAACTTACAAAACCTACAATACCTACGTAACGCGATATGACATTTGGCCATAAAGTTGTAAGCCACCGCTAGATGCATGTGAGGAGGTATGAGGATACGATCCAACACATCATGGCAGGTTTTTGTCTTGGATATAACGTCTGTAAGATAAAAATAGAAAATTATATCAGTACTTTAGTTATTTTCTAATGAGGTACAGTCAAACCTGCTTTTAAAGACCACTTGTATAGAAAGACAACCTGTTTATAAATACCATATTTTTGGTTTCCCTTGAACGTTGTTTCAAATTGATCGTTCGTTCGTGTCTCCTTAGATCAAGATAGTTATGTAAAGTTCCTTAATTAAATTAAATTAAATTAAATTAAGTTCTTCCATCGCCCGATTGCTGCAATGGCCGTTTCATTAACAAGGGCCAGGTCTTTATCTGTGCAACCCGTTCTGCCGCACTGCAAGATGTGGTCCATCGTCTGAGTCTCTCCGCTGTCGCAGAGAGTATCTTCTTCATGGGCATAGCGGGCATAGCGGGCATAGCCTCATCTTGCCATATTGACCTTACACCGCCCCATTCTCGTCCGCATTCGATTTAGGCATTGCCACTCCGGCCACTTAAGGTTAAGTCCTTTGATGAGTATGGGCTTGGCTGATGGTGGAGGATTCTGTTCAGGTGGTGGGACAGAATCGAGGAAGCTGTGTCGGGATACACGGCGTTTGTGGGGTTGTAAGTAGCTGTTCTGTCGCCTGCTTCATCCGTTCCTTTAGGCAGGTGTAAGTGCGTCTTTGGTTAGGAGATCGAATGCCAGCGAGGTGATATATCTCCTCAACTTTTGTTGGTTTCAGGCAGCCTGTTATCTTTCGATATGTGTTATTGAGTGTGGTGTCAAGCGATCTTCACACGGGCTGATCTGCTCCAAACTGCATATTCTGTGGATGACATGCAGAGGGCAACAGCCGCAGATTGTACAGTTTTGGGGTCAGCGCCATAGTGTGAAGTTGCTAGCTTCCCGATGATGGCATTTCGAGATTCTACTTTGCCTATTGTCTTCTCGATGTGTTTTTTCAAGGATAAAGTGCGATAGAGTTTTACACCTAGATACACTGGATGCTCGCAGTGGTTTAGCAGCACATTGTTCCACTTTAGCTAAAATTGATAAATGTACTAAATGAACCTGTACATAATAAAAAATAAGCAGTCAATTTTACTGTGATCTCATTGTAAATATAGCATTAAATGAGTGTTACTTATATCCTATGGACATAAGAGGGTCTGTATGTAAGGGCCCTATGTAAAATGTCAACATTTTGTGGGGGGGGGGGGTCTAGACTTCTTGTTTGTTTGTAGAGCAGATGTTTCTGCATTTATTGACAAATCAAATACAAAACATTCAAACAATAATAATTGTATACCGTATTTGCCGGCGATAAGGCCGCACTGCCGCATAGGCCGCACCCCAACTTTGACATTTCAAAGAGGGAAAAAAAAAAGAAAAAAACAGAAGAAAAAAAAAGAAGTCATCATTTTCTCGAAAACACTATTATTTTTTTTACAAACTGATACCAAATTCATCAATATTCTTATAATTTACCTGAAGTTTAGCTAAAAAAGTGATCGCAGGCAGATTTGGTGTCCGATTTATACCCCTACCACAATGTACGGTGTAATGCGAAACTGCATGAAATGGAAAACAAAATGGCGACTTCGGATGGATGTTCGCGTCAGCTCGGTTAAACAGTCCCTTCCTTTACTTTTGCAATGCATTGGCACGAACTTAGATCAAGATCTATCGGCAAATGTTGTGTTAGGACGTTTTTTTTTGTCTTCATGTTAACAATGCAAGATAAAACTGTCAGTAAGATGTGTAGAAATGTCCTGTACCATAGTGGTATAGTTATTTTACCGTTCGTGGTCCCATATGTGCAAATTCGTGCTGGTTTTGACTTTCGTTTTTTTTTTTTTTACTCTTTCGCCGTAAAGGCCGCACCCCGACTTTTTGATATTTTCTCTTCCAAAAATACTGCGGCCTTTACGCCGGCAAATACGGTATACAACTAGATGGGTGTTCGACTGCACGCAGCCGAAAATGATGCCTCCGCCATAGAGCAATTTTTCAAAATTAAGGTTTGATTGTAATCCATTAACAGGTTCACAGAATATCATTATTACAAGCTATTTTTTATATACATGTATGACCCTTTGGTCTTTGATCTTATGACCCTAAAATCTAATCACTTCGATGGCTCTGCAAGATACATACATGTCCCGAGTTTAATAGTAATCCATTCGTCAGTTCTAATAAGAAGGCGTTCACAAGCTATTTTTGCATACATAATGAGCCTCATGACCTTTGACCTTTGGCCTCATGACCCCAACATCTACTCAGTTCATTGGCTCTGCAAGATAAATACAAGTTTTGAATTTGATGGTAATCTGTCCATCAGTTCTAATGATAATGTGATCATAAGCTATTTTTGCATACATAATGAGCCCTGTGACCTTTGACCTTTGACCCCAAAATCTAATCAGATCATTGGCTCTGCAAGATACATACATGACTAAAGTTTTGCAGGAATCCATCTATCGGTTCTTGAGATAATGTGATCACAAGCTATTTTTGCATGCATAATGAGCCCTGTGACCTTTGTACTCATGACCCCAAAATCTAATCAGTTCATTAGCTCTGCTATATATATACATGACCTAAGTTTGGCAGGAATCCATCAATCGGTTCTTGAGATAACGTGATCACAAGCTATTTTTGCATACATAATGAGCCCTGTGACCTTTGACCCTGTGACCCCAAAATCTAATCAGTTCATTAGCTCTGCTAGATACATACAAGGTTTAAGTTTGGCAGGAATCCATCTATCGGTTCTTGAGATAACGCGATCACGAGAACGGGACGTACGAACGTACATACGTACGGACGGACGGACAACCCAAAAACATAATGCCTCCGGCTACTTCGTAACGGAGGCATAAAAATTGACAACTTGAAAGTATGGAGGCAAATCAAAGAATCAAGATAAATGCTGAGGCCAACTATCATAAGCATGAATAGTTGAGTCGATAGCAGCCGGGAAGGGGGGCACATGACGCTGTTAAAGGAGTAGGTAGAATAATGGAGTGGCACATTTAACCTTTTTTTTTCTTCGGAAAGTATCTACATAAAAAGTTGGAATTTAAAAAAAAAAGAAACTTAGATTTTGTGCTGCCATGTCTCCCAGGCACCTTTTAGTGTAAAGCCATGGCTACTGTTTACTGAAAAAAATAAATCTGGATAAGATCATTTAAAATCATTGGCAAAGGCCATTTGGGAGCTGTTTCTCCATGCATGATAAGCAATAGACCAGATTCTTTACAAGATTAGATTTATTCTTTAATATCTCTCACCCCTCATTAATGTGACGTCCTTCACAGCTGCAGGATACATCTCCACCAGTTCAGCGAATGTTATCATAGTATCGTCCACCTCCTGCGAAAAAAATAAAAGAATATAAGAATACTGGTAGAAATGATATACCTGGTGTAATATCATGCATTGCATAAAAACTAATGTCACATATACATTGCTTTATTTTCTTTTTAATTTGTTTGTTCCTACAGAATATGTTTCTAAATTAGACAAACAATATCGCTAATTATCTTTATTTTGTTCAATTACCTTCATGTTATGTTTTTATTCCTTATGAATGTGTTTCTGTATTGTCAAAACAATATCACTGCTTACCTTTAATAAAACCAACACATCAATCCAAACTGCACATTTTCCACAAATTGATGTCATGGCGTTCAATGGCTGGCCGCATTTTGGGCATTTCATGCACAAGTTGTCGCGAGATTTGGGGTCGCGTGTGCAAGCCCGGCAACGGCACGTGAAGCAGTACTGATTGAGGAGGGCCTGCTGCCTATCCGACGTTGTCATGTGACCAACCTGCGGACCTAGAATCAACGTGAAATACTGTCATACCAGAAACTTTCACTCCCATGAAAAGTTCGCAAATTTAATGAGTTGTTCAGATTCGTGAAAGTATACTGTTGTGTAATTGATACAAAGCCAAATGTTGTCCTTAAAAATCTGCAAACATTTCTTTGTGCAAACGTTTCTGCAAAAATATGCAAATAATGTGTGAGATATGCTTTATATCCTCATCATAGCTTACCATAGCAATGTTGTATCTCATCACCATGCATGATCTTCTTAGTTGCTCGAACACAGAGGATACCCTTCCTAAAACTGCAATGAAAACAAGAACAAAATCACAACGTCATACTTTTAAAGGGTGATCATTCTGTGACTAGCGCCCTGTTTCATAGAACAATAACGAGTGACAATCACTGTTATAAACTGTGCTTTGGCGTTATTAATTGTTTTTACGAAATAGGGCCAAGTAGCCAGGGTCATACAGGAATGAAAGCTAATATGTCCAGATAAAAAATAGTTTAAAACTAGATGGAACTTCGACTGCACACATCCGAAAATGATGCCTCCGCCATAGAGCAATTTTACAAACCAAAACGAAAGCAATTTTTTAAATTCAAGTTTGATAGTAATCCATCTGTCAGTTCCAATGATAATACATTCACAAGCAATCTATAGGCATACATAATGAGCCCCATGACCTTTGACCTCATGACCCTTTAATCTAATCAGTTCATTGGCTCTGCAAGATAAATATACATTTCTTGAGTTTGATGGTAATCTGTCTGATGGTTCTCATGATAATGCGATCACATCCTATTTTGGAACACAAAATGAGCCCCATGACTTTTGACCTCATGACCCTAAAATCTACTCAGTCCATCACTCTGCAAGCTTCATACATGACCCAAGTTTGGCGGTAATCCATCGATCGGTTTTTTGAGATAACGCAATAACAAGCTGTTTTTGTTTACATAATGAGCCCTGTGACCTTTGACCTTTTACCTCGTGACTCCAAAATCTGATGAATTCATTAGCTTTGCAAGATACATACGTTGACTTAAGTTTGGTGGTAATCCATCAATTGGTTCTTGAGATAACCGATCACGAGAACGGGACGTACGGACGGACGGACAACCAGAAAACATAATGCCTCTGGCTACTTTGTAGCAGAGGCATAAAAAATAAAATAAAACTGCTCAAATGTAAGTTTCAGATTGCTTAATGGTTCTAAAAAATTTTGTGAATTAATGAATATATTTTCTAAAAAAAAATCGTTAAATATGCACATTGTTCAGCTCTAAATAAAAAGTATCGCGTTTGTGGAGTGGGCAGTAAAAATTTGACAATTTTAGGCAATTCTGGTCACACGCATGACCAAAAATGATTCTTATTCACTCACCTGGGGATGATATTAGGTATACAAGCATGGTTCATCATGCTCACTGTGGGATAGACAGCCGTTGCTACGCGAAACTGCGAAATCTCCTCTACAGTACCACCTGCTGATTTTCCTGCTGTGTTTTCTCCCTCACTTGGCCGTACCTCAGTGATGGCATGGGAGTTTGATTTCAGTTGTCTGGTGTGAAGCAGAAGAAGGGATGCGATCTCTGCGATGAGCTCCTCTTCCGAGAGTGTTTCACAAGTTTTGAGCGAGACAAGTTCCCGGTAGAAGCACTTTGCAAGTAAGATGGAAGTCTGTTGCATGGAGAGAGGAAGAGAGAGAGAGTGAGAGAGAGAGAGAGAGAGAGAAAGAGAGAGAGATTGAAATAGAGTATATGTCAGTAACCCCTTTATTTTTTGCTTTGGTAGGAATAAAGTAACAGGCCCGGCAGAGGACATAACATCTTGACAAAAATGACTGACTGGAGACACAAATTAATACCCTGATTTTAACTCCTGCTAAAGTGGTACATTGTGCATCACAAGAAATAAATCCTGTCGCTTCTATCTTTAGTACACCTGGATAAAGAGTGGCAAGTGTAGATTGATGCCTTGCCAAAGGACATTGCTATCTTGTCAGGGCACCAATCCATGACCTTTGCAATCTCCAGTCAAGTACTCAAACTGCCCAACTACAATAATATAACAACCTAAAAAAAAACACCATCATTTCATCTTCTTATTACCACAGTATATTGTATGAGTTCTTCATGTGAATGATTGAACCAGTGTGCCTCAAGACCGACGATGGACTCGTAGTTGACCAGGCCACCGTCGAGGTAGCCCGATGAGGAACCCTTAGCAGTGGTCAAAGAAGTTGATGTCGATGATGATGATGGTTGGGAAGACGATGTCTTGGGTTTGCGGATGTCATTGGATAGTTCTTCTCTTCCGGCGGTGATGAGGATACGCAGACTCAGTCGGCTGAACACGCTCACCTGAAACACATATGAAAGAATCCCCCAAGGGTACATTGTAGGTCCTTATTTGTTTTGCTTCACACTGCACCACAGTACTTTTGTCTTTCAAATTGTGAGATATTGCAAATAACAAAAAAACGGGCTGATGGACAGACAACACAAAAATATAATGCCTCCGGCAAGGGTACGTTGTAGGTCCTGTTTTTTTCTTTTTCACACTGTACCACAGTACTTTTGTTCTTCAAATTTTGATATATTGCAAATAACGAAAAAATGGGATGGATGGACGGATGAAGGGACGGACAACACAATGGGCGAGGCTTAACAACAACAAAAATGCTTGCTTTTTCTTGCAGAAGTTGATCAAGCAGCACTCTGCTCATTCAATTTAGCCATGGACCATACATGGAAACAATCATTCAAGAATTTGGTGATGAAGAGTTGACTGCTACCTGATTCATACCTGTTGCAGAAGCTGCTCGGTCCCACACTCGATAGAGTGGTACTGAGTCAGGCTATCCGATCTGCACCTTGAAGAACAGTATCTGGCATGGATACAGTTAGGACACCTAAGATAAATGAGGCAAGATAAATTGGGGTTAAAATGTGAAGATGACATGTAAAAGTAAGTAAAAGTAAAAAGACATGATCAATACACAAAGTTGGATTTACACATGTATACAAAAAAAAAAAAAAGAACCCCCAAAATGTCCTTGCTTCATCCCATGCATCCAATTGATGTTTTATTATTAAAAAAATTCTGCCTGTAACTTTATTGAATTTGATTTTTTTCTTGGTCTAACATCGATAACAAAGACAAATTAACCACCATATTTTTTCTCTCCAAAGATTCACACATCCAGGCAATCAGATGTCATATTCAACCCATGCTTATATACGTATGATAATTAAAGAATGGAAAATTTCATCCAAAGCTGCTCCTGCTTACGGGATTGGCGAACATTGTTCAAAACAGTGATGGCAGTGAGAGCTTTCTTCTTCTTTCAAGATAATGGCTGCATACGGCTTCTCTTTGATGAGAAGCTCACCTGCAGCTATGTCTCTAGTTGCCTGGAAATAGGAGAAATGCCAATATTTAAAGGGATTGGGTAACTTTGCCTCAGATTATGAAAAAAATTCCTGGATTTAGCTCATGCTGCAATCATAATTACAAACCCTTAGGTCAGTCAGGAATCCCTTTACTTTTACAAGCCGATCGCCCGTCTGTTTAACAAGATAACTATGATTTAAATTAGAAATTTCAGAATTCGTTTTCCTAACAGTTTTTATAACACTACAGTCTATTGGGGAAAATGAGTATGGTAAAACCGGTCACTCAAAGATTTTTACTTTTTTGCGGCACTTCATGATCATTTTGAAGCGCAATTTTTTAGGGCTTTAATATTACACCATATCACAGACACTGATAACACATAGGGCCATGCATCTCATATTAAACATTGTTAAACGATGCCTTTAAAAGACTATATGTGACCTGTCAGCTCAATGCCACCTTCCCCTCCTCCTCCTCATCATCTTTACAGCTCCCTATGGCATGTGTTCACACTACATCTCAGAACTTGTTCACACCTAACATCCTGCCAAGACGTCTATGACCATCTTCACAACACCTTCTTACCACCAATCCCTGAGCAACTAAAAGACCTATGGTGACAGAGCACTGGCATGTGGACGCCCAAACCTTTTGAACGCTCTTCCAGTATCGCTACGCTCCATTATAGACATCAAAGTCTTCAAAAAAAGTCCTTCAAAATTATCTTTTTTGATAAGTGTTACCACTGATTGTAAATTGCACTTTGTAAAATGCATTGTGAGGGTCTTGGTCCTGAAATGAAAGCACTTATAGTTATTATTATTAATAACTCCCTACATTCCCTTTTTGTTTTTGTTTTGATTATTTTCTGAGGCTGGAGAATACAAGCTTTTCATAAGGCACACATTGCATTTCACTCAAGTAGAACCCACTTGAATATTACTGTAGGTTTCGAGACTGTTTGTATCTCTACAAACAGACAGCCTGCTTGATAATGATGACGCCATTGTAACAAATATTTATTAAATGAAACCTAGATATTTTATTAACCTACTCAAAATTGCCTTTCTAAACAGAAATCTAAATTCAAAATTATCAAAAATATAAGTAACAAACATTCTCACAAAAAACACAAATGATTTGCATAAATTAGAAATATTAATTAAAGCTAATACACCTATATGCATATTCTCTAAGTAAACAATGGCATTTATTTTGAGAGCGCACCTTTCTCCCCACTTAATCTGTGGTCGGGTTTACAACTTATTAGTGGCTATCAACTGTTGTTGGGTTACATATACTTTTGCTTGATTGAATTCAATAATCTTTTATATTATGTATCAATGCTAATATTTCAATTAGTCACATCTAATGGATTCGATTCAGTTCACAGCCATGTTTGGGTCAAATGACCCCTAGTTCAATTCTTCTTTATTATGGTAGGACAGTAATCAAAAAGTGCGCATATGGCTATTGCAGTGAAAAAAATACCCCCAAAGCTGTTTATCAACTTCTGGAAACACCACCTAATATTGACATAAAAAAGATTGTAAAACAGCAGGGGGGGGGGGGGTGTTTCACAAAGATCCTAAGTAGAACTTAACTCTAAGTTGGACTTAAAAATTATGGACAGCCATTGGAGTCTTAAAATGAAATATATTCAAAAGCAGAAATTCAAGTATTTTAGACTTTTTATAAATTCCACATCCAGAACATGAAATCTCCTTGATGATAGAAAATATGAATGATTTGAATAAACAATTAATGCCTTTCAAAATAACTTTTACAAAATATTTTCAAAGATGCTAATGGCTTTCCATAATTTTTAAGTCCAACTTAGAGATAAGTTCAACTTAGGATCTTTGTGAAAAACCCCCCAGAAGAATTATAAGCTATGCATGTTGATTTCTATTACCTCTAGAAATCTACCATTCCCTTCCTGATGTTTACATGTGACTGCTGATGATGCATTTGCTAACATGGAAGACTTCTCTTTGATGTCTTCATCTGGTATATCCAACTGGTCTCCAAAACTAACAGAGCTGCAAAAATACATGTACAGTAAGTAGTTAGTTTATTGTTCAAGATAAACAATTTCTGCGCTTCCCCCCACCCTTTTTTTTTTATTGTCATTAATGCAGATTACTCTATCCCTTTTGAAATTTGAGTAATAAGTAGAAGTAGGGATTGAAACCAAGAGAATATGTTTTTTCAACAAGTGTACAATGTTGCATTGAACTAGCAAAGATTTTTATGATTAAGGGTTATTTGTCCCATTATATGAATACAATTCAGATTTTTTTTTTAACTGAAGACAAAATTGATCTTTTCCTCTGTTAAATATTGACTACTTTACACGATTTCCCCCTAAATAATTAAAGCCAAATAAATGGATGACTTCAACTTAAGTTAATTCTAATGAAAGCATATATACATACAAATCTAATGCATGAAACAAGGACCTGATCTGAATTCTATGTATAATTGCATTACACAGGGTGATAGCAGTGGACAAAGATTTGTACTTTGGGGGTCATGACCCTGACAGGGAATGTCAGATGGGGTCATAGGGTCAAAGAGGTTTAGAACAACCATTCTAGGGGATAGTTGTCACGAGGAGGATGGCTAACAATTTCTATTACAAACTTACGTAGGATTACTGCTCTCTTGTAGCAAAATCTTTATCTCTAGGAGCAAAGAACAGTAAAAATGAAAAAAACACAAGAAGAATAAGAAACAATTGTAGGCTAACATTAGTGCTCATGCCTAAATTTGATTAGCACAGGTTTTATTGAGCCCCACTCAAATCAGCAAAAATTAACTGCCTCTGTATGACTAATATTTCAAACAAAATACATGACTTCAAACGTTAAATTACTACATTTAATGCTCTGTATTATATTTCAATGAGGCAAAAAATATCTTCCATGGGTATAAACTTGACCTTGAAGGTATCCACACCCTTTTCAGGAATAATAATGTAGAATTCTTTTTCATTCCGAACTTAAACTCTCGGGTGGGACTTGGCCCCCGAGATGGAAGGGGTTCATACATGGTTCCATCAGTCCATAAAATCTACGCTACTACAATGTATGTTATATTTAAATTCAAACTTGCATCAAAAATCACCATGGATCTTTGAAACATTCCACTGTTTTGTTGTTTTCTTTAATGTAATAGTCTTTGATCTGCAACATCCTTTAACAGTAGAACATAAATTTATTAAACAAAATATCTGTAATGTGAGTCAGACAGATTTATACATAAATCTACAATGATACCTCGTCTTTTCTTGTCTTCCCCAGTGATACTATCGAGGCATCGCAGTGCTTTTGAAAACTCTGTGAAAAGATAAAGAGAAATAGAACAAGCCATTTGTAGTACAAATAAAAATTGGTGCGTCTTATAGACAGGTGCAGGATATTTTGAGTCCTCAAAATGCTACTTTTTAGTGTTTTTCGACCATCTCTGTGTCTCAACTTAAATACCATAATACGAATAAAGAATTAGATCTACCATTTGAAGTTAACCTACGTCCCTAATTTGAAAGGAAGTTTGTTTTTTTAACTATTATTTGTGACAAATTCACAAGCACAAATCGGCGCCTTCAACTTCGCCTCATAGCAATATCTTTTCTAACGTACTACGGTGTCTGCTAAAAAGTATCTACGGCCAATAGCAATTATAGGACTGCCGCAGCATTCCCAAGGTCACATAAGGTAGCCGCACGGCGTATTTTGAATTTGTGGAGACAGAAAACCTGCGGCTGCCATGCAGCCTTTGAAGTGATGACGCACGGTCGCCTTAGGGCGTCCCTGCGGCGACCGTAGTTTTATGACAAATACCAAAGCAGACGCAAGGTAGCTGCAAGGCAGCCAAAGAGGGACCGTGCGTCATATGGCATGGCTATGGCGTGTTTAATTGCTATGGTGAAACTAGAAATAAAAAAAAAAGTTATAACTCTGCGCTATAATCTCACAGCGACCCCTACGGCCTGTAAAAAATAGGGATACGCCCTAGGGTGACCCCAAGACCACCGCAGATCCTCCGTGGCCACCGCATGTATCTCTCTGTTTCGGGGACCTATGGCCACAGTATCCTAGCCGTAGATCAAATGTGACTGAGGCATTAGTAGCAAGGATTAATACCTTACTAGAGGATACTAGCGCATCAACTTGTTTTTTAAATCCAGGACTCCTCATTGAGAAGGCCACTGATCTACCATCATGCCTCATCTATTTTAATTTTTTTAAACTGAATGTTAAATGTTATCCATTAATTTGATGAAAGGTAATTGGCCTTCCCTATCAGCAGAAATGGCCTTGAATCAAGGCTTACCTTCCTCTGCTTCTGAAAGGTTGTGTAATTTTAGGAAGCACTGTCCTTTCCGTTGGAGCACCTTGACGTGCTTGTTGGTTGGGTATCCTCGAGTTAAAGCCTCATCAATATCTTGGATAGAAGCCTGCAAAGGTAAATAGACAATTTAAAGTAGATATTCATTGATTTTAAAAACTAACTTTATTTTCATTATTGCAAAGTTGAAACTTTGATTCGACAAGGTTATCAAAATTCAATGCTTTGAAACATTCGAAGTAAAGATTATTATAAATTACAAAATGCTTAAATACAGCCCGGCATAGCACCTGAAGAGCTCTCCAAACGCTGCTGAGATGTGTGAGATCACAGTATGGACATGATTTGCACAAGCAGACAATGTCCCATGATATCTTACACATTTTCAGTGCCTGTGTTTTCATCTTCTTTGAGTTACTTCTCTTACTTCACTACCGTCAGGCTAAATGTATACCGTAATTAACGGTGTATTAACCGCACCCCTCTTTTTCTCCCCCCCCCCCAAACAAACAAAAAAACGGGAAAACAAAACCGTCCAATTGAAAACAGATAGTGCCATGGGCGGTCGGATACCGGACAGTTAAACGTTTGACTACAGCACAACTTAATATCATTCGGGGGTTTTTCAATTTGAAAGTCTGGTTTCTTTGATTGTTAATTAACCCCTATCCTGTGTATTTACAAGCAAAAGATTTTAGTTATCAGAATCAGGTCATATCCCTTTTTGAATGGTTTGACATGCCATTACATTTATATACACTAAACTCATTATAATTTGACAACTAATAGCTTTGCAATTATGTTCATTCTCTATGGGGTGTCATCTGCTCGGGCAGTATTGGTCCATATTGTTGAGTCATTAAAACATTATTTTTCTGGCGAATCTCTTGTATATCCCAGCTGCTATGGAGGTGGTTGTATTTGTATTTTTATAAATCACCCGATATGTAGTTAACCTAAAACTTGTACGATGGCCATCTGTTAATTTACCAGTTTCTAGTGATACATTAGTTGACATATTTGTGATTTTCTTTGAATTTCACCTTTAAATGTAATGCACATATCTTTGTTAAGTGCCTGTTATAAATGAATTGAACACATTTGATCAATAATGAATTACAAGTCATAACTTGAATTAAACTTTTTACATTATATTGTGGAATAGTATATAACTAATTTGTAGTCATTTTCATGTCATTTATTAACACAATATTTATAAGATTTATAAGACAATGCTATTCGCCCAAAATCAAGGCTTAATGTAGTATTTCAGCCATCATTTCAGAACACAACATTACCCTGTAACTGCATCTGACATTCTGTGAAACTTTATTCAAGTAACAGCTCACTGATGACTCAAGGAAGCAATCTATAACACCTGTTAAATTTCTATGACAAATTTGCTCTCAGCCAATCAGATGCCATGATTTCAGGAGCTTATTACAGTTACTGCAACTGTTTATTGATAACAAGTTTTATGAAACAGGGTCCTGGTCAGTGTAGGATATTGACTGCAAAGCATTTGCTAGGTCTGTCTGGAAGGCTATGATCAGAATATTGGTATCAATATGCGCTTTATTAGCAGATTAATTTTGGAACGTGATATTTTGAATGAGGAAAAGGTACGACTTTATTGAATGAAGGCTGAGAAAATATGTCTGCTCTAGGATTAAAACAAGGATTTTGGTCACTGTAGGTTATTGACCACAGAGCAATTGTCACCAAGGCATATGTCATACAACCGATATGATTCCTCTCTGTACAACCTATAACTTTTACCTTGTAACGCCCGAGGTGAAAGAGGGCAGCAGACCGATTTGCGTGAGCGAGAGCCAGTGTATCCTTTCCATCGTGAGGAGCAACCTGAACACTCTGTATCGATAGTAAAAATAATTTTGGCAATGAAACATTATGTCTGTAACAGTTTGCAGTACACAGTATGGGCAAGGAGACTGTATTCTGTAAGAATATGACGAGAAAATGTTGATTCTTGTGCAGTATTTTTACAGTCAAAGATTTCTACAGAATCTAAGAATTGAGATAATCTAAATGACTAAAGCAACAATATATCAATACACTGAAAAGAACTTTGATCAGTAACTGAAAAGTGCTACATATTGAACAATTATATCAATATTATCATCAACATATGAAATTTGTATATCTTTAATAAAATATAAATTGTTATTCCCAATATAACAGACATGCACAGTATACCTTCATTAAGGCCCACATCTTTCAATATTCAATCATTAAAAATATAAATGGACTACTTTCCTCTTTCTTTGAAAGTGATATATATGTAAAGTTCTTCCAGTTTACCAATATATTTGGTAGTTAATAATTATTTAAGTCAAGTCCATTCAGAAGGTATGAGGGGGGGGGGGGAGCTCTTACCTTAGTGTAACACTCCAAAGCCCCTCTGTAATTCCTCTTCTGGAAAAGCTGGTTACCCTTTTGTCTGCTGTCTTCAGCAGATGAGGCTGACTTTGAGTCTGACCTTGAGGATTTCAGACATCCCTGGATGCTTTCAATGCAATGGTCTACAGTGGAATTTCTGAAAGGAGCAAATGGTAATTTAAACACAATTGGCTAGCTTCCTTAAATTCCCACGGCACTACTTATAGCTACTTGCGCCCTCTATAGCAAAAAATGCCTAATCGGTGCCTGTTGGTCCCCCATGATCCCCTTTTTCCTATGTTAATTGAGAGCTAATTTGATGAGATAACCACCTGTCGGTGACCTTGCAGGAAGGTCTAATCCTCCTGGCCAAACTAGTACAGATAGGCTTTTATTTAGTTATGAATAAAAAATGACATCAATTTTACATGAACATCCTATTGCTACTTTTACTTTTATAAAAGGGGTACATAAACTAGGATGTAGTTTGAGGGAGATGTGAGTTGGTCTAGCAGTAATGTTTGTGTTACTGTCAGCTCTTTATCTTCACCTATACATTTCTAAGCGGACCCCTGTTCAAGACTGAGACACGTCCTTCGGATGGTGACGTTAAGGATGGGTCCCCAGACATAAATGATCATATCTGATTGATACGCATCTGTAAGACCCCCAAATACACACAAAGGGAATTGAACTTGGGGGCTCATTTGCAGTGCATGCTACATGTACATGGTGCGTTCAGGTGTCAGACATTGTGTAAGTAAAAATTCAGCCCCTCAGTTTAGATGCTGAGTGAAAGGGCTCCCTTGATTTGAAGGCCCATAATAGCTAAATATAGTATATAGGCAGCAGCCATCAAAATATATATTGATGCAGAGTCAGAGAAGGAAGAAATCATACATTGATTCCCTCATAGGCCCAGAAGAAGTAAATTATTTTCCTTTTCTCATGAATGAATTACCCTGGCTCGATGCCCACTATTATAGAGGTGTCGTAGTCGAGTGGTTTAAAAGCTTGACTTGAAATGCAAAGGCGGTGGGTTTGATCCCAGACACAGCACTAATGTCCTTTGGGAAGGCATTAAACTATATTTGCCACTCCATACCTATGAGAGAAATGAGGACCTGGCAGCGCTTGTGATAGTAATCCCTTCACAGTGAACATATGGTAGGAATACTCCCCAGGGAGTGAAGATGGTGCACATTGAAGGTGAATGAATCCAGTGACCGGGATAATAATATCAGTAAAGTGCTTAAATCCAGATTATTATTATTATTACTATTCAACACAACTATTGTAGGAATTTTCACAAGTACACATTAAGTGATAAAAATGATATCAATATAAACTATCAAATTTGGTGATTTGTAAATATACAGACCTCATCAATAGTGCAATGTCAAACTTAATTTATCACATATGAAATATATATATAATCTCTGAAACCTGAAAGACTTAAATGATTGATATTGATTCATCTTTACAAAGTATACTTTTATGACTCATAAATGATCAAACTCAAGGCTTAAATGTAATCTCTTTTTCAGAAGAGTAACTTCAATCATGGATGGCTTCCTCAAAAAATTTGACAAGATTCTTGCCATGCAATCACTCTTTTAAGTATTTAGTTCATCTTTCTTCCCCTGAATTTGGCCACTCCAGCAAAGCATAGAGAGTCAATGCTAATGCGTATTGACCTCTAGCTCTGCATACTTGCTGAGAGGCAGGTATTATACACAAATATACACACCACACAATATTGCATAGACTGCACACAATAGAGCTGATGTGGCTGATCTGCAAATTTGACACTAGACTTACAATTTGAATTTTTAAATTATTCTTTTTAACATCAGTAAGATGAAAAAATTGTATTTTACTGCTATTTAGGTGTCATCAATTGTCACTAGACCTAGTAAAGTACTGATTTTGAGTGAAATCAGTTGAGTTTTGTACAGCGGTGTTTGAAATGTAGAGAATCAAAAGCACAGCTAGTTTTAATACACAGGCACAGCCAGGATAGTAATGCAGCTATGCCTATGTGTGCCCTTCTTCTTCTTCTTCTTCTTCGCTATAAGTACAGGCCACCGTCGGGTGTATTCTCGTACTGATTGTAGGTGCTGTGCAGGTGTATATATACATGTGGTGTCTCAATAAAAGGAATTTGGCAAAAGATTCAGAAAATAAATCTACATCAATTCTTATAAAGAGAAGAACGATGTAAGACAACCCAGATTTGTTCAAGTTCATGTCGAATTTGTTGGTCCCAAGCAAAATTTTTCCCACAAAAAAGTTTGGATATGCACGTGTGCACATAAAATGGAGATGAAACCCCAAGTTCAAACACATCACCGTTTAGAACATGCGGGACTACACATTCACAAACACATAATAACAACGACGTTTAAAAGACATTTGCAAAACTTACCTCCAATCAATTATTTTCATTCCTAGGCAGATAACATCCTTGTCAAGTTCATATGCATTCTGAATGCAATACTTTTCTTTTGAAGACTGACTTCTCCAAATTTCAGTTGCATTTTGAAGGAATTTGGGGAAGTCCAAAGCAGCCGCCATCGCGTCGATCTGTGATCTGTAAACCTCGCTTCCAGGAAAACCGCAACAACAAAATATCGACGAAGAATGGCAATGCATAATTTATTGTGTTCTCGTAAGGGGGGGGGGGGGGGGGGGGGGGGGTAGCTGTTAAAAAGAAATATGCTAATTTACTTGTCATAATAATGTTAAGTGACAGACGTGGATGGGGTCAGGGGCAGTGAAGAAGAAGCTATTACCGGGGGAGGGGCAAACTTGAAAGGAAGCTATGGAACTGGTGTGAGTGTATGTGGGTGGGTGTGTGCGTTTATGTAGGCATATAAGCAATCAACATATTGAAAAACTTTATTTTATGCGATTGAATGGTTTTGTTTGTATTACACATTTAGAGGAATAAAACAAAATTACTTTAAAAAAGAGAGAAAAAAGTGTGTGTGTTGGATCAAGAGAAAGAGAAAGAGAGAGAGAGAGAGAGAGAGAGAGAGAGAGAGAGAAAAGAGGGGGTAGGGGCGATAGGAGTTTAGTACAACACACATGTTGCAACTATATGTGATCCCCTCTCTATCCAGCTCTCTCTCTCCCTCTCTCTCTCTTTCCCCCTATTCTATGTTTTTCTCTTGTGACCCCCTTTCTGGCATTCTGTCGAAGTCAACCAGGGACCTTAAAAATTGAACTTCAATTTGATGTTTGTTTTAAATTTAATTTTGTAACAGTATCGTCTCTTTTTTTTGAACATGTACTTGAAAAATACGACTGCGTCAGCTGATTTCAAATACCTTATTGAAATGTTTACATGCATGTTAATATCACATATGGGAATAAATACTGCTAAAGCCAGGGTAATTATGCTGCATTATTGTTGAGCGCTTAGAGACTTCTGACAAAGTAAGTGTTAGGCGCTATAGCACTGTAATTATTATTATTATTACATGAAACTAATCAAGCTAAAATTCTAGTAAGCTTATTTCTGATTAATTGCAATGTCACAGAGTCTCTCTTTCGGATAGCCATCTTTCAATCATTGACTGTTTCTCAAACACAATCTTATAGATAGCAGCCAATGCACTTCACGATTGATTACGGCACTGAGTGCGAGCGCTGATAAAGTGCCCCGGCGGGCGGATCGAGAATTTTCAAGAATGGGAAGGGATAGACATTCTCCTGCATGGAGGGGGGGGGGGGGGGGGGGGGGGGGGAGGGGGGCTAATCATGGGAGCATGATTCTAGTCTAGACTACAATTCTTGATTACAAAATCCATGTCTGAAGACAGCAAAACATATCCTAGTCCTATATGCAAGCTTATTTTGTTTTGTCGATATCACGGTTTATAATGTTAATGGGTGTATTAATTATGTAAGCTTAGTCAGGGAAGCGTCCGGGATAGGTAGGCCATACTTTAATTTACACCCCCCCCCCTATTCTTATAATGAAACGATGGGTGATTGTCCCTATTCCTTCCAGACTACACCAACACAAAAGCTTTGCAAATATAGCCGTAATGCTAAAGACTAAAGCACACCACCATATTCTAACGAATCTAAGCGAGATAGACAAAATCAATATTGTCCGCCAAATCACCCCCACAGTCATACCGAGTATGAGTCACACAACGTTTTGAGACCGACACCAGATCGAACGAAATATTGCATTGTACATTCTGGTGAAGGATAGATCGGTTAGAAGTAGGTGCAGCGGTGTGACTGAGGCGGACTGAGGTCACCATTAGTCATGTCAAGGTATTGTTTCCCGGTTGTTATCTCATTCGCGAACCAGTAGTACACAACACCGGACGTATTCTAAAACTGGACGTAGAATATATAGAGATCATTTGGTGTTTCCTACACAGCTACAAGCAGGTTTTATATGTTACCGTTTTACAGTGATCGACAAAACTAACTGGAATCGGCGGCTGATAATTATAATGAATGCATGCATCCTGCATTACGGAGATCTCATGCACTGATGCCTGGAACTAAATTATTATACTCTCTTTCTTCTCCGTCGTTGGGCAGTGCATCAACATCCATAGGTAAAGCGACGCATATATTATTATTCTGGTGTTTGAGGTACCGCTAACGCATTGAGTGATATATTTACATCATTTGTGTTTGTATCATCATGTAATGTTGTACTGGAAATTTTCTTTATTATGGATGGCTTTTGTTTTCTCATTTGCTTTGGTGTCATTTTGTGATGTGAATTAGGATTCGATGAGACTGAATTTAAGCGACTGCCGTAAACATCATAAACAGTTTCTGTTCTACACTGTTCATGCACTGATGATCTACATTTATTTAGGGCATTGTGCGGAACGCCTTCCCGGGGAGAAGTATATTGTTCGCCATTATTATATCGTCTGTCGATGTCGAGAGGTCTTGTGGAGTTCAGTTTACATGCGTCGATCTATCAACTTCATCTCATATTTCATGCACCCTGTGAGCATAACTCATTCAATGTATTATATATTACCATGACCTCTTTCTCTCTCTCTCTCTCTCCCTCTCTCTTTCACCTATACATGTTATTGTCTGTGATTTAGAACTGCTGTGTAGTCAGGAGGAAACATATTATGCCCACGTATAATACTTGAGATGATTAATGGTCTAATGGACTTTCAATTTGTCTGATTATATGACGATCCTATAATCTCCAATTTATGTTCCATATAATTATACCAAACATTAAGATAAACACGTATTATAACCCCCTCCTCTCTCTCTCTCTCTCCCTCTCTATTTCTTTCTCTCTCTCTCTCTCTTTCTCTCTCTCTCTCTCTCTCTCTCTATATATATAATGTTTTGTTTTCAATGTCTGCAGATTCAATTAGTCTCCAGCATTATATTATGTACGATATATACGAACTTCCTGTATCTCATGTTTCATTATGCCCTATATATACAGGGCATGTGAGTTAAAGTCTCACCTCCCTGATATATACATGTATAGTCAACTGCATGTTACGACCTCTCTATCTCTCTCTGTTATGTCTGCGATTTCCAGCTATATTCTTCAACATTATGTGGTCAAGAAAAAAAGACTATACCAACGCGTAGCTCACCCGGTCAACTGGAGCTCAATAGGTATCATTTCATTATAGTGCACGTAAACAACTGAATCCCAGCTCCTTGTGTTACGTCCTCTTTCTATTGTAGTTATCGTCTGTAACTTCCAGCTATATATTCTCCACCATTTTGTAGTTTTAACAAAATATGAAACAGACCAGACCAACGTATACTTAACATGATTAATGGTCCTCAGGAGCTACGTTATGCATGTGACGATTTATCAACTTCATCTTCAAAGTTCATAGAAAACATGCATGTATATCATGACTCATTTGTCACTGACAGTATGTCTATAGTATATGCATTTAAATACTCTATATCTATGTTTTGTAGAGCAAATAAATTAGTGGCGTCGTTATGTGATTTGCTGTATATAATATATCAACGTTATTGTTGTCGTAAGTCAACAGTTTTATTAAACGGACTCCTGGTGCTTATTATATACATCGTTACGATCTGACAACACCATTATCATGTTTTATATTCTTAGAAACTATACGTGTAAATATTGTCATAGCAGAAAATGGCAGTTCAATTCCAAGATAATGTTTCAGTGCCTTCAATTTTCGGCCAAATCTCAAGCATTCTTCATTGTTCAGTACGATGTACTACCATTCCCACCATATTACCCAAGATGGTGTATGGTTTAATGGAGATTATGGAGCTCGTTTTACATGACAATCTGGAGCGACCTTGTCTCATGTTTCATCATTGTGTACGTATCAAGGAAACAATCTGCCTTGATACAATTAACAGACTATTGACTGCATTAAATATGTGTTCTCTATTTTGGACCTCTAAAAAGATCTTGGCAGAAAAAAGCCATCGAAAGATTCAGAAAGAGCATCCAAGCTGTATTTTCGTTAATAAGTAATTTATAAATTAGTTGATCATAATGCATGTATACGTATGATTTTCGTTTGTATATAATTAAACAGGAATGAAACCAAAACATCATTGCTGTGGTTTAAATTTACAGCTTTAAGTCAAGTGCGATTTTTTTTTGTACAGCTTCCATTTTCTCGCACTGCTCGGATCCATGTTCTTCTAACTACATCCGAGTTTTACCACTTAGTCATGTGGTAAGATACATACCAAATTATGTCTTTAATATATTGTGAATTCAAAACAACTTATTTTCATTCGATATATTTTTTATTTTCAGCTATTCTGCACCAAATATTGTAAGCTCGAAGAAAGATCACAGACGACATATTCAAGATGTATAGCTTTTATTCTCTCGCACTCCTCGGCTCAATTTGCCTCCTGGAACTCGTCACTCTGTCGTATGGTAAGAATAATATTTATTTACATGGCCGAAAACAAAATGATATTCTTTATTCGTCTCTTTGACCTGTACTCGTGCATACAGCCCTGGAATCAATTACAACCTCGAAAGGTTAATCACAATCCAGTTCTTATTTTCCATATCCGTCCTCACATTTACTGTTTACACTATAACCTGGATGTTGGCCGGGATTTATACATGTTAATAGGCCTATAAAGATCCAGTAGTTTGGGACCAATTTCTTCCCTCTGCTATTCCGACGTAGAAGTAAATGTAGAATTGGATCACAGTGGGAATGTATTTTGTCAGTGTATAACAAATATTGTTATCATTAATGGAGGTATATGTGTCCAAAATACATGTATCTGCATGAAGTTTATAATATAGCTAGATTGTACAATCCCAACGAATACTCGCCAGATCGGCTTATGCTGATGTTATTATTAACAATAAACTGTCAATTATTTTGTTGTTAGATTTAGAAATCTTTCACCACAGGCACAGATCTTTCCCAAACGAAACCGATCATGAATGCTCATGTATCATTTCGAAATACATGTACATGTTATGTATGTCAAATATACAACTATACCGTGTTAATCATTCATAAGTATGACTAACTCATCTCCCACACCCTCTGATACAATTGTCATATGTATCGTCACGTGTTGGTTTAAATTAAAAGATATGAAGTAGATAACCCTCCGTTTAGAGAAGTTAGATATTAACAGCTCGCCGTTATCGTAGGATAAACGGGATTGGACTTTGATCACATGAATACAAACACTTCTGGCTCTTTTGTCCGCTAACCACTCATTAGGCCTAATAAAATGAATGCTTAGTTTCTCGTCCAATTTCCTTCTTTCTTTTTGTTCAGCCCATTTCATTTTGAAAAGTTATTCAATATTTTGTTCCGAAAATAACACATGATCTCAAAGATTTCCGAGAAATCCACTCAAGGGCACTTTCAATACCCTATTGCGAATTTGTGATGGTATATGCCCAAGAGAAATCAATTCCGATTATGTATGTAATCTGTCTTTGTATAATTATGTTCGCATAATTCATAAGTTGACATACCAAAGCTATTATAGTGAAATTACCATACGTTGATATTAGGGAAATAATTACCATCGTGTTATAAGGGTAATTCCAAAACTTAGGGACCCACTTTGTGACATTCTTGGTGTCCCACTTACAGAAGGAACCCACACGTATTTGTGGCTCTGAGTAAAGGCTTAAATAGTGGAGTGGGATTGTTAGGTGATTCTAGGTATGAGGATGAAATATTATGCTTGGAAATCACTTTACAATCTCACTCCAGTATTAAAGTCTTTACTTAGAGCCACACATACGTGTGGGTTCCTTATGTAAGCGGGACACCAACAATGTCACAAAGTGGGTCCCTAATTAGATTTACCCATAAACAAAAATCTTAGAACATCTAAGCAGTTAAATAACAATAATCATTAATATTTATCATAATGCAATTCCACTTGGTTCTGAGCCACCTAACTTGAAGTGAATTAATGGAATTTGTGTTCACTTGACCCAATAACGTTTTTATTTACAAAAAATACATCAAATATCAAATAACATGGAATCCACTCCTATTTATACATTAAAAAGAACGACGAGAGACTAGGGATCATATTTCCATGGCCTTATCGATTAGCTCGTATATAATTATCACCAAGGAAGTGTTTGAGGGGTATTGTTTATAGGCCTATACCTGTATCCTGCCGTCAATTATACTGCAAGTGATAAAGGGACGGGAAAGAAATGAGACATGCGGGGAGTTCAATGTTTGGTTGATACGTAGAAGGAAATGATACCAATCACAATAACCTGGACAGTTTTAACAGAAAATGAAAGAAAACATACTGATGTTGATGACGATGATGAAGGAGAAGTGATCAAAGAATGATTATAGTCAATAAAAGGCCTAGTCAATACATTTGTTTTTTCGGTCAGGGTTGGAGGTCCAGCCATTTAGGGGCAAGTGATTGATGTTGTGATATATATTTTAGACTTCACATAACCACCCAGGTATATGTTTTTTGTGATGACACAATGCCTGAACTCATATCCCTTTTAAAGGAAACGACCATTTCCTTTTGAGGCCAATAAATATATTTTCATTCTGACAGCAAATACACTTCAGGCTTGCTAAATTCCTGATAATTTTTTTTACGCAGGGTTACAAAAGCTATAATCAATATCAAAGTCTGATCTGCAGACTTGTTATTCACAAGTTAGCGTCAGTCTTTTCCATTTTACACCACAAGTTTGTAACCTTTATGCGTGAACGTAATATTATCTTTACTGTTTGAATAGCTTTTGACGGTTATCAAACATTTGTTCTTGTAGATTTGTTCCAGGCTCTATTTCCGGTTAGCATCAAGGTTGCGATTAAGATTTAGGTTAGGTTTAGGATAATGGGTTAGGGTTAGGGTTACGGTAAGGTAATTATAGCATTTATTATATTGGGACCTGTGTTGAAGTTAGAAATCCGATTGGCGTAGTAAAATTGACTAGAGGACAAAAATTCACCAGATTATTCTTATACAGTAGATAACATCATAGTTTCTATTGTTATCTCTTTCTCGTTTTAGGTCAAACGCCCAGTGGAGAGAATGAAGACAGGCCCACCAGGAAAAGACCAATCCTAAGAAAAATCATTATTGTGGTCGGTCTTGCGATAGGTTTTGCATTTCTATGCTGGGCTACACATAAAGCCTACAAGGCCTGTCGAGCAAGGTCCCAGAAGCGTCGCCGGCTGATAGAGCGCAAGGAACTTGATGCCAATTTGGAAGATCTCGAAAAGCAGGAGTTGAACTCCAATAATATGTCAATCCAAGGCGGAGGTCAGGCGTTGGATTCAGCAGATTCGGCCAAGGGCAAATACATGCCATTGAACAACGCTAGCCCGGAAGAAGAGCCGTTGATGACTCCCGAGAAGACGCCCCAGTATGTATTAGAAAGTGACTCTAAAACCAAAGAGAACGGAGAGTCATCGACGCTGCTCTTGAGTGATGTTTCATTAGATGATTTAGATCCACCAGGGGATCAGAAGTTGAATTTGACTGGACAAGGAGTTGGAGAAAATGGTATTGATCCATCGGCTCCGCCAAAGGAAGAAGGAGAAACGAACGCTTAGTGACGAAGACAGTTGCCATAATATTCGAAGTAAAAGAGATGCATTACCATTTACAAATGGTTATGTGATAAAGAGAGAGAGAGTCCGATTCACTCGGTCGATCCAGCCGAATTCTATTCGATGGACTTGCGAAGTGCATGGACACAGTTCTCCTGACTTTATTTGGTCATGCCATACCATGTCACATCACTTGAATCTGATCTGTTAACTGCAACTTATCTTTGATTTAGTAACGTTGGTTTAACTCTTTATTCCCTTAAGTTCCATTATTAATCATGTTATCATTAAAACTGCCAAAATGGTGACAATGTCGCCACACAAACTGTGAGTAAAGAGCAGACTTGGAAAACTTTATTTTGTTCAGACAGGAGACAAAGATGTCATACACAAAATGTGGCTAAAGAGCGACAATTGACAATGTGAACACACTGGTATTCATGCCGTTTTCATACTGTGTTCCACACGTGTAACCCAATGTGAAAGAAGAAGAACACAGTGTAGGGCAGTGTGTGGAAGACACACTGCTCAAACTGCACTTTGTCCTCACAATATGAAAACGGTGTGAACAAAGTGTCAATCACATGTTGGAACATGTGTGCAAACGTCTTCAGTTTTCTACTAAACTGTGCTCTTCACTTTGTCACACAAACATGAAAACAAGATGTGAACGTGTAACAGCAGCTTGAAAACAATATTTTCACAACATGTTTAGGCTGTTTTCACATTCTTTTGACAAAGGGTGGAGCATATTTTGGAATTAACTTTAGTCTGAAGTCTGAACACACCGTGGGTCACACATTGGTAGGCCTACCAGTGTGCACAAAATACAAGACACAGTGTGGAAACAGCCTGAAAACACTCTGCGCACAGTGTATGCAAGCCGTTTTCCACACACTCCGTTCCTTCCAATGTTACACAGTGTGGTAGCAGGTGAACACAGCGTATATTAAATACAGTTTAAAAGCAGCCTGTTACCACTGTTTTCAAACCATATACAGTGTGTTCAAGAAACTCTGAACAGTGTGAAGAAAATAAAGAATGGAAGCAGGGTAAACATATACTGTTGTCGGATTATGTTCCAGATGTTTTGACACTGTGCTCTACATTTTTTCCAAACAATGTTCAACAGTATGAACACAATGTAGACGACATGTAAGCTGCCTGAACACACCTATCTCCACACTGATTGTGCACTGCACCTTTTCCATAGAATACGAAACCTGTGAACAAAGTGAAGAGCATAGTTTTATGTATCTTTATTATGATAGGCCTATATATCTAATATATATTATTGCAAGAAAAATTGGACAGTTATGAATTTTGGGCGTATCACTATGGGGACACATGCATGACCGTTATAACTTGACAGTGTGCACCTATTTGATTTGCAGAACTTTGCAATAGAATATTTTCGAATAGAAGTTGTATCAATGAAGCCTATATAGTCATTTTTATGATTTTAGCCGACGGTCACAATATCGAATCTTAATCTTATCATCTTGAAAAATTCAATTAAATGTCATAATTTTAATCTAGGCTTTGAAAAACACATGCTATGTACATTCCATTCTTGTTTCGTGTGCATTCCTAACCTGTCAGAAAATATATCGTTTATTTTAATAATTTCTTAATCTTCTGTCACAACCTATGTTCGCAATGTCATGATACCCACCGAATGATTTTTGTATCTATCTTGAATGTGTACTTTTAATTATTGTCAGAAATGGCAGTTGTGATTGCCTAAGAAACTTTCATCAAATACTTATTGCGAATAATTATTGCCTAATTTTTATATTTGTATATATTTTGAATGTTAAATATAGAATTTATCAATATTTGAAAATAAAATTGTCCTGTTTTTTATTTCAATGAGTCGACGGCCTTCCAGCATCATTAAATTTACTTGTCTTAAATAGTGTCTAAGTGTTTACGTACTTTCCTATACTAGTAAACTTTTAGTCCTTGCTATAGAAAAAAAGATTATCAGTGAGTTATAGCTGCATCTGTTTTCATCTATTCTGATCAAAAGGTCGTTGGGATCTGATATCTATTCATAATTATGATGGTAGATTTAATTGAACTTAAAGATAGAAGCCTATACATTGCTAGAATTAGTTGGCAAAAGAATGTGTGTCCAATCGCATTTGGGTATTTTTTTTCTCCAAATCGGGCAACATTTTGCCCAATGACGAATTAAAAGTACTTGCCCACTGGCAGTTGGTCGGGCACAATTTTTGCCCAAACTTTCGGCCACAATTTTCATCCATTGCCTAGTATATATATATAATATATACTAGGTTTGTTCTGTCCTTCCATATACAGTGCCCGATGCCTAGGCAGAGCAAAAATATGTTTAATAAGGCAGATTAATGGAACATGCTACTCCGAGTTTAACGCCTTGCAAGCGATCAAAGACCAGAACTCATCTCCAAAAGCCGCCATGAAAACAAATTTATCTCTGCAACTTCGAAAGAGACTATACTTAAATAAATAAAGAATATTAGCACCTTGGTGGAGACTACCTACATGTTTAGAAATCCAGCGCTGTACCTGAGCATTTACAATAGCTCCTTCACCCAAGAGTAATTCTTATTGTACTGTATTGTATTAGTTAAGTCTTATAGTTAAGTCTTATTTTTAGCGTATTGTACCCAGGTTGTGGAGCAATCATGTACTTTTAAGAATGCTTGCCTGATGATCGCTTGCAAGGCGTGCATCTCGGAAGAGCAACACATTCCATTAGTCTGCCTTATTCAATAAATATATTATATAACCCTAAACACCAAATGGTACATTAACCGGATATCATAAAAACTGGTATATTACCCTAACCCAATCCCTAACCCTAAATTCAAAACAATATTACTAATTAAACTAATGACTAATGATTAAAACTATTCTTTCTTGGGAGGCCTTAACAATTTCTCTGCCTGCAAACGAACGTAGGGGGCACTACTTCTTTTGGTCAATCGTTAACAGGACACGAAAATGTCCTGCTAATGACCATGTCTCATTTGTTCACTATGACGCATAAGGTGTATGCGATATACTGTTGCCTATAAAGTTGGAATCATAATTATTTACTAAAAAAAAAAATCATGAAATGATAGTCGCAATAAATGATTTATTATTGATAGAGAAAGTTTAAGTCTTCACAGAACCACATTGATCAATTTCTGTGACCCTTTAGATTGATAAATCAAGTTTTGAGATCTGATATAAAATTCATCCATCAAGAAAAAAATCACATTCTCACAATCACTTCAAGAAAAGAGGTAAAAGAAATGTATTCCAACTTTCTGGTCAACAGTGGACAAAGGTCGAAACGACATAGAAAAGAAAAACTGAGACAGACAAAGAAAGAAAAGAAAAGGGGAGGATAAATGAAGGAGAGAGAGAGAGAAATGGGGTGGTAACAAAAATGTGACCCCTAGTGGAGTAATACATGTATTTAATTCTTTTCGGTTAAAAAGAAATACTGAAGATTATGACACAACATGCATAATCATTAAAATACATGTAGGCCTACAGTGAGAGGTTATTTATATAGACCTCTGTTTATGGAGAACTGAGCCCTCAAATTAAAGGAAACGAGTGTACAGTAGCCTTTTAAAATCATGTAAATTTAAATGCACCATGTATAAATTATCTTTATTACATCTAAGTAAGTGAATAGAACATTAATAAAAACCCTCCCCAACTTTGACCAAACTGAAGACATTTGAATTAAAGCCTATCTATTATAGTTTGGCCAGGAGGGATTGGACCTCCCTGCTTGGTCACCGATATAGATGGGTATCTCATCAAATCGGCTCTCAATGAACATAAGAAAAGGGGATGATGGGGGACCGACGGGTGCCGCTTAGGCATTGTTTACTATGTAGAGGGCGCAAGTAGCTACTATAGTGCAGTCCCGCATTAAATGATATCTACATACAAATATAAATAAATAAGATGTAACATAGGTCTACGGTCCAGATGATCCGATCAATTGCCTCTAAAATGTAGGCACGGTTCTTTAAGAATATATATATTTAATTTGTTGTCAATGTTTTCATTTTTTTTTGGGGGGGGGGGGGGGTTGGGGTTGTGGTACTGGGCGTTCTTGCACTTACTTTCTACTTGCTATTTTGTATAAAATTGTAGAATAAGATTTTTTCTTCTTCTTCTTTTGGGGTGTGGGGGGGGGGTGAAGATTATTATTTTATTTTTGTATGTGTGTGTGTTTTATGTGAAGGGGGAACTTGAGCCCCCTAAGCCCCCCCCCCCCCGTCCCCTGAACCGGTGTGACCGCGTAGAATGTAACCCGCACCGATCGTCCGACTATTAGAGATCGATCGAGAGCGGACGATCGGTGCGGATTTTATCCGCGCAGAATGTCCGTGTCGGACATTCCGTGCGCGCCTCAAATGTCTGACGGACAATCTGTGCTGAAGAGGTCTCGTACCAATAGTCCGCCTGCCGCACCGAATGTCCGTACTCTAGTCCACACGTATACATAGTCAAAACAAACAGGGATGTACTCTCATATCCCTGATACAAGTATAATTATAATTAATGAATGAAACGACTGGATAACCCATATTCAGCTTAACCAGCTAGCTAGGGATGAAACTACAGGCAGTGGCGGATCTAGTAGGAGGATGGGGGGGGGGGGGGGGGGGGGTGGTGCAAATTGTTAAAATTTCGAGGGCCAAAAAAAAAAAGGTGCTCACTACCCCCCCCCCCCCCCCAAGATCGCGGAGAAAGGCCTTTGTCTCTGCCCCCCCCCCCTTCTCGCCAAAAAAAAAAGAGAGAAAGAAGGGAAAGGGAAAGAGGAGAGCTAAAATAGAACACAAAAGAGGTAGAAAAAAGAAAAGGGTGAAAAGAAGCAGAGATCAGTTGCGATTAATCCCATCAACATCGTGTGGATCGGGGGAGGGGGCGAAAGGCCCCTGCCTCCCTCACCAAACTTAAACGAGAGAGGGTGAGAGAAGTAAGGGAAGGGAATGGGGTGGGGGGGGGAGAGAAAGAAGAAAGGTAGGGGAGATCAGTTACAATTTTTCTTTTAGTGTATTTTATATTAAAGCAAAAAAGCCAGATATTAAAAGTTAATCATTTTTTCCAATTTTGGTGTGATAAAATAATTATTGTTGGTGTTGTTGATGTATTGAAAAGGGTTCCAAAGCACAATATGTCAATGGATTCCTCAAAAAAAGAAAAAAAGGGCCTAGAGTGAGGGGGAGCAGTGTAGGAAAAAACTGTTAGGGAGCCCCTATGGGGGGGGGGCCAAGGCGCAGATCTAGGATTTGTTAGGGGGGCCCAATTTGAAATTATGCTAGCCAAAAATTGGTACGTAATGGTGACACCGGCAGTGGCGAAATGAGCAAAAACGTTTGGGGGGGGGGGGGTAGAAAAAAAACCGCACCATCCACTTTTTATGCAGGCCTCGCTGAACGTTTCTCTAAGTAGGTTGGGGGAGTGGTATTTACGATAAGGCAGAGCGTAGCGTTAATTGGCGTGGGGTCTAGGGCCTTTTGGCCCCTCTGAACTACAACTTGTTGGCGGCAAAATTGCAACTGATATCCCGCTTCTTTTCTTTTCTTCTTCCTTTTTTCCCTCCCTTTATCTCTTCTTTTCCTTTTTCTTTCCCTTTTCATCATTCTCTCTTATTTTGTAATGGGGGGGGGGGTGACAGCTGGGATCCAAGACCCTTTCGGCCCTTGATCTGCTTCTTCCCCCCCCCTTTTTTCCCCTTCTTCTTCCTCTTACTCTTCTTTCTTTCCCTTTCTCTCCTCTTTCCCTTTCCCTTCTTTTCCTTCTCTCTCTCTCTTTTTTTTGCGGGGGGGGGGGGGGGGGGCAAGGCCCTCCCGGCCCGCTGGATCCGCATCTGCCTTTAGGGGGTATAGCTGCGCCTGTCGTCAGCTAGCTGAAAGTGTTAACAACTAAAAGCACAGTGTTAACAACTAAAAGTGAACCAGGTAATCGCAGTGAGGCAAAGTGGTCTCGTGGATAAGCAACCGCCTAGTAAGTGGAAGGTATCGGGTTCGATCCCCAGCTAGTGTATTTTGTTTTTGATATTAAAAGTTAATCATTTTTCCAATTTTGGTGTGATAAAATAATTATTGTTGGTGTTGTTGATTGTTGATGTATGGGAAAGGGTTTAAATGCACGATATGTCAATGGATTCCTCAAAAAAACTTGAAAAAGGGCCTATGGTGAAGGGGGAGCAGCTGAGTGTAGGAAAAAGCTGTTAGGGAGCCCCTTTGGGGGGTCTTTTTTTTGGGGGGGGGGGTCTTTTTTTTTTTTTTTTCTTGGAGGTCGTCAGCTAGCTGGCGGTCGTTGGCCGGTAGCGTTAGCCCCAAAGCCATGTCCAATTTTTAAACTACATTCAAGAGTCCCTTATTGCCAGGTTAAACAAGTTTTTTACATTTTCACTACTACTTTCTTCCTTTTATTCACTCTGTACACTCCCATGCTATCCTTTTCCAGTCTGTAAACAACTTTACAACATGAATTCAATGATGGGCAAGGTTTTACTTCTCATATGAAAGCGCCCAAACTTCGCGAGGTGAAACAAACGGTCTTTCAATTCAAGTCTATTCAAGCCCAATATGGGCTAACAACTGGCCTGCATACCCGAGCAGAATCATTTTGTGCTCGACAAAGACACACAGCCTTGGGTAAAGAGGTCCAATATTATTAATTTTTTTTAGTTATATTTTTTCATTGACAGTATACTATTAGATATCAGGAATATTGGATGCTCTGTTTCAAATACAGTCCAGATTGCCGCGCAATGAATTATCTCATGCTTCTTGTCCAAAAACCATATCTAACTGGTTTTTAAAACGGTATCATTTT